AATCAAAGGAGGAGGAATAGAACTCGGGCCAGCTCAGCCAGGCCGGGGGATAAGAAAGCAGTCATCATTAAATGTGTCTCTGCCAGCCAGAGTGGACAAACACTTATAGTTGTGTGTAAATCAGTTGCCAGTGAATACCAGTGAATATTACTAAAGCAAAACGAATTAACTGGAAGAGTTGAATAATCCATATATGATCAGTCTTTACAAGAAGGCAGTTTTGCTTTTGTTTTTGTTGGGGCCATAAACAGTGATGCTCAGGGCTTACTCCTTGCTCTGCACCCAGGATGGCTATGGGTGGGGAGGGGAATATGGGATACCAGGGATCAAACCCAGGTCAATTGCATGCAAGAAAAGCCCCTACCTAGGGACTATCGCTCTGGGCTCTGACCAGAGTGGCCTTAACACAAAATAGTGCTGATCTCTCTTTAGCATTAACTATGCTAAGAGCTAGTATTAAAAGTTTCAGTCAGTTTGAAAGAAATATTATGGATTAATATAACTGGAAGGTGGTGTTGTCAATGCTGGCACATAATAATCTATTTCTATCTAGCCTCTGATATTGTTTCACTTCCAAACTATGAATCAATATTTGTTTTAATAAGAAACTACCTCACCAATAGCTGAAAATCTCTCAAACAGCTGTAATGAACATTTAGGTTCTGTGTCTCAGGTGAAAGAAAGCTTGTGAAGAGAATCTATATATACTTTCTCTAATTATTTCAGTAATCAACATAATTTAAGGAATATCTCCAAAATCCTTTCTCCTTTGTAAAATGAACAGAGCACTATTTGCCAGATTGAAAGATGAAGTGACTTAAAATCTCTAGACAAAAAGCATTTGTGCCTGTAAAGTATCCTTCTAAGAAAATTAAGAGTAAAAGGACCCTTAAAGATGCTATCACTGAGTTAATGGGATGTGGGGACAGGAGAGAAGCTAGACTGTCTGCAGACCCTTAATTCCAATCACAGGGATTGAATTAGTTTATGCCAATAGTTTAATAAACATAGAGAAACTTGCTCAAGTGTATTCTCCTTTAAAAAAAATAGAAAGTATCTCAAGAGTTTTCTTTCCACACAAATTTATAGATGAAACTAAATTAGCTGGAAATTTGGGGAGGTTGCAGTTGCTGTTCTCTTCTTATCAGAATTTCCCTATACATTAGGATTTAAGCTGAACTGCCTTCTTGTAACATTCTAAAAGGTATCTTATGGCTTCTTGTCCTGTGCACAGAAAACTGCAACTATTAATACAGCTAATAGTTATTGAACATTTCCCATATGTCAAATGCTTTTCACTAATTTCTTCATCAAAATATCAAAATGTCAGGACTCTGCAGTGAGGCAGAAACAGAAACAAAGAGATTAGGTAAACAGAATGAGTGCAACCTCAGATGACTAAGACTCTTTCATTCTTTCCTTAAAGTCATCTCAACTTGAGTGATACTTCTACTTTTCTGAAAAGGTTTAAGACAGGACATCTGTTCTGACCCTGTATCGTGGTCAATAATTTTCAATATATTACTCACATTAGACTGCTTCACGGTCACTTATCTCCATGGGTTTGAATCATATTGGGGGAGAAGCCTGGAGAACTAGTTAAGTCTAAGTGTCAGGTAAGCCAGTGTTTAATGGCGTTCTGTATAGTTAAGCCACTAAATATAGCTGCCCATATTAATAATTCAACAGCTTGATATAGTTTACCCATTACTATAGCTGTCCCTATTGTTATTCTACTAGTTGAAACCAAGACTGGCAAACAAGTAAATACGTTTGTGCAGGTGCCTGCTGTGTACATACTTGATTAAAACTATCTGCCTTAAGCAAACATTTTACTGGTTGGACAGAATGCATTGTTTACTTACTTGTTGTTTGTGTCACCACCCATGGTTCTCAGAGCTTACTCATGGTTCTGTGTTCAGCGATCACTCTTGGCAGGAGATAGAACCTCCTGCAAGGCAAGTACCTTCCCTGCTGTATTATTGCTCTGGCCCATCCAGAAGTGATTTTTATTGGAATAATTCTAACTCACTTTATTTTCCTTAAAAATTTGATCTTTTCAGGGCTGGAGCAATAGTACACTGAGTAGAGGATTTGCCTTGCACACAGCCGACCCGGGTTCGATTTCCAGCATCCCATATGGTCCCCCAAGCACTGCCAGGAGTAATTCCTGAGTGCATGAACCAGGAGTAACTCTTGTGCATCACGGGGTGTGACCCAAAAAGCAAAAAAAAAAAAAAATTGATCTTTTCAAAAACTATAAGCAACCCAAATGACTTCCAGTTCAAGATCACTCCTTATTGAACATGAGAGTCAATGGGCTTGATTTATTTTTAAACATTTTTTTTCTTTTTAATTGTTTGTCTGAGAACCTCACCCAGGAAAGCTCACTTCTGACTTACGCCTGGGATTATTCAGAGATTAGTCAGTGCTCTGAAAACCGTGTGGTGTCGGGGATGGAACTAGGCCTCACAATATGCTCTAGCCTGTTGCACTCTCTCTTCAGCCCGGGTAAGCTTGATTTTTAATTCTGCTTCTTTTAGCCAGTACTTGACAAGACCTGGCCAGCTGGTTGTCACCAGAGTTTGAAAGCATCTTCACTGGATAACTTTGAAAGACATATTGTTTGGGAAGGAATAAGGCCACACTCTCTTTAAAATAAAGTCTACACAGTACCATATAAATGGAAATAAAAGGAACAGAGCAAGAGAACAAAAAGATCCCAAGCTCACGTTTCATTGTCGCTGATGAAAACTGCTCTCAAAAAGCACAGTGTAAAAATTACCGAAACCTGCAAAATATTTGCAAACTCCAACAACAGCTCCAATAGTAAGTGGGTTTATTGACATAACTGAACATAACAATGTATAACATTTATTCATTTCCCACTGAAAGGCCTTCCAGTGAAACTGTTTCTACATAGATTCTGGCACTACCATTTTCAGTGATGGTCTGCAGTTGAAAGAATGGGAAGAACCCAGATCTCTCCCAGACTTTCCCTGGGACTCACTACCTTATTGCAGTGCAAAAGGAACAACTAAGGGATGTGGTCACTCTGTGGATGTACAAAAACGAGGGGTGTGAGAGGGGCTGAATAGCCCAAGGGTTGCAAAGAAGAGCGAACAACTGTACTTCACCCATGTCCCAATTTACTCTGAATCTAAAACCAGCTCTGACAGCAGATTGAGAATGACAATCTATTTCCTGTGGTTTATTAAGTTTTAGCCCACAGATAAGACTGCCAGAAAAGCAGCTGTACTTTAAGTGGTCTGGACACTTCCTCATCTGAACATAAACAAACGTCAGCTCATTTAGATCCCCTGTCCTAACTCAGCTGTTGGGACCACAACGGGCCTGGCTCAACAGAGACCAAACACCGAAGGGGTGGGCTGAGAGTGGGGGAACCCTGGACTGCAACAGATTCCCTGAGCCATCGGGACCCACAGGGGTGGAGGGGGGGCAGAAGAGTCACGGTTGGCCTTAGCGGCTTATGCTGGCCACAGCCAGCCTGCACACCACCGTACTGCCTGCCTTTCTGGACCACACACACAATCCTTAATGTAAACCAAAGCACTACATTTAGTGATAAACACGTATTTTATAAATATCAGGGGATAAAAAGATACCAAATAGTGGGAAATGATTGAGCAAATAAAGGGGCCTAAAACTAAGTTTAAAACAAAAATACTTAGAATACTGCAGTTCTTAACTAAAAAATAATGGTTTAATAATACCATAAAGGGAAAAAAAAAAACAAAGCACTGAACAGTGGAAGGATTAGTTTGTAAAATAGATGATTATTTCACAGTGAGGTTTAAGGACACATCTTAACAATCTCTTGGCTTTAGTAGAAACAGACACCTACTGATACTCTTTTCTTTTTCACATTTTCACCAAAACTTCTTCCTCTCTGCTATGGCGTGGAAAAGTATGATAGTCACACAGGCCAATGTCACACTATCAATCAGCATTTGCTCTCTCTAAGAAATTACCTTTCTTGCTTAACTGAGCTGCTCCAGGGAAGGGTGGCCCAGTGAGTCACTGATAAAAACCTTGAGAAGTGGCCCAGGCCATGGACCCCAATGTGAACACCTTGTCAGATATGTGGTAAGTGAACTGGAAGGCTGGACTCCCAGGGGGCCCTCACTTACACACATATTACATTCTTTGATCAGATCTGGCACTGACATCTCCATATGTAGGTTAAAACAACAAAGTTCAAAAACCACAGGAGCAACCCGGACAGAGAAGCCTTTCAAACAGCCTTCTCTGAGAAAGTATGAAATATTAGTACACCCCACGGTCAGCCAACTTCTTGTGGTGTGGTTGCAAAAAAAAAAAATGTTTAAAAAAGAAAACGGTTGACCAGCCGGTTCAACTAAATTAGTCCTTGAGTTTACAGGTCAGTTTGTTAAACGTTAGAGCTCTTCACATTGTTGAAAAAAAATTTTTTTTAAAAGAGAGTCTCTATTTAAAGAATAAGTTATCCTGAATGTTCTTTTACCCAAAACATAAAAGAGTTCGTTGGTGAGTGTGTGAAACTTCACCACCTGTTTACAACATTGCCCTTCTTGGCAGAGACCACCAGGCCGGCAGGGCCAGTTGCCAAGTCTCCTTTGTAATGGTAATAAGTTTCCTGTGCTCTAAATAGAAGGAAAACTCCTCTGCTTGACAGGAACAAAACAAAAGCCAGGCACCCAAAGCTCTCTCTGCCACCCATGGGCAAGAGCAACCCTTACCTACCCCAAAGGGAGGTCGGGCGGGCTGTTTCATCCACAATGCCACAAAAGCTTTTTTTTTAATCGCTGCTTGCACCGTGTTCGCCCACCGCTGGACCCTCACTGTGCACGCGTCCCCCGGGGCGGGCCCCTTGACTTGAGTGACTTGAGGCTGGCCGGGGCATGAAGAGGTAGTGCCTCAAATGGGGTGGCCTGTTCCCGTGGCCTCTCTGGCACGTGAGCCAAGGGAGGAAAGGAAGCGGGCGGGTGCAATTGAGATCTTCCCCTCCGGGAGGATGGTGGGGACCTAGTCGGCAAATCGCTGCAGGAGATGGTCCTCCCGCCTCAAGCTGCCGCCCGCGCCCGCACCGCCCGAGCTGTCCATGAAGCGGTCGCAGGGGAACTCGATGAGGTCGGCCTCGCTGAGCGCGCACACGGTGGTGCGCGGCCGGTGCGACTGGAAGCCCGAGAAGTCGGCCGACACGCCGGTGCCCATGGAGCGCAGCGGCCGTCGGGTGGAGTACATGTGGCGAACGTGCACGGGCGCGCCGCCTTTCCGCCGGGCCCGCAGCTTCCTCCGCAGCCAGCGGGATGCCCAGGCGGCCAGGGCCAGCAGCACCAGCAGCGCGTTGACGGCCAGCAGCGCCAAGGTCAGCAGCTGGTAGTCGACGCCGCCCTGCCGGCCCGGCTCCGGCAGCGTGACCAGCCCGGCGCAGTGGTCCCGGGGCGCCACCGGGCACACGCGGCCCCCGAGCACGCCCTCCACGCACACCAGGTAGGGGGTGTCCCCGCGCAGCTCGCGCAGCGTGGCCGAGTCGCTGCGCTCGGGCAGGTAGACGAAGCGGTGGAATTTGGGCTGCTGCCCGAAGCGGTCGAAGAGCAGCCGAAAGCGCGCGCCGCCCTGCGGCCGGGGGCTGCGATGCTCGCGCACGGCCCAGCGCACCGACGCGCTGTCGGCGCCCACCGCCTCCACCGTCAGGTTGAACAGGATGAACTTGTTGAAGTCGCACGGGTCGGACACCAGCGGCGGCAGGCCGGCCCCGCCGTCGGGGTGGCCGCCGGCGCTCTCCTGCGGCTGCGGCGGCGCCGCGGCGCGCTGCTTGGCCGCGCGCTGCCAGGGTTTGCCGCTGGCCCGCGGGGGCTCGGAGCCCACCGCTGCCGTCACGGTGGGCAGCGCGGTCGGGCGGCCGGGGTCCGGGTTCTTGAGACGATCCAGGGCGGGTGGCGCTGGGGCCGCGGCCGAGGGGCCGGGCTGCTGCAGGCCAGGTCCCCGCCGGCTCAGTCTCAGGGCGCTGCGGTTGCCGGGGAACTCCCTGGAGACCCCATCGCGGACCAGCCCAGGCAAAACTCGCCCTCGCTGCTGGGGCTGCGGCGGCGGCGGCAGCTCCTCCGAGGGGTCGACAGCAGGGGGCACCATCTCCTTCCCCGGGGCTGTAGGTCGGGGCCGCCGCTTACCGTCTGCGGTCGGGGAGGCCGAGCGAGCGGGGTCAGCGCACGAGCCGTTGTGCAGTTGCTGGTCATCCAGGTAATCCAAGTACTTGCCCCGCAGGGCCGGGGGGTGGCGACACTGCACGAAGACGGTGAGCAGCCGGCCCTGCGAGTGCCAGTTTCCCATCCAGCGCTTCAGGCCCCGCAGCCGGCAGTCGCAGGTCCAGCCGTTGCCGTCGAGATCCAGCCGGTAGAGGGCCGGGCTGGCGGCGAAGATGTCTCCGGAGAGGGCGCTGAGCGCGTTATCGCGCAGGCTGAGCTCGCGCAGCCGGCCCAGGCGGCCGAAGGTACTGGGGTGCAGGGCGGTCAGCTCGTTGCCGCTCAGGTCCAGCGCCTCCAGGCTGTGCAGAGGCTCCAGCAGCGTCACCGGCAACTGGCTCAGCCGATTACCCTCCAGGCGCAGCTCCCGCAGGGTTTCCAAGCCCCAGAAGGCCTCCGGGGCGAGATGCGTGAGCTGGTTGCCCTTGAGCGAGAGGAGACCAAGGCGTGGCAGGTGCTGGAAGACGCGCGGGCCGAGGTGCTGCAGGCTATTGGCCGAGAGAATGAGCGTGGAGAGCGAGCGCAGCGGCGCGAAGGTGGCCGCGTGGCGCAGGGAGGGCTGCAGCTCGTTGGCAGAGAGGTTGAGGAAGCGCAGCTTTCCCAGCTGGGCGAAGGCATTCTTGCCCAGAAAGCGGATCCGGTTGGACTCCAGATGTAAGTAGAGCAAGTTGCCCAACGGGGAGAAGACCGCGTCGGGCAGCGCCCCCAGGGCGTTCCCGTCCAGCCGCAGTTTGACCAGACTCTCCAGGCCCTCGAAGGAGCCGCGGCTGAGCCGGCCTATCTCATTGCCATTGGCGTACAGGATTCGCAGTTTGCGCAGGGGTGCCAGCGTGCCCGGGGCGAGCGCCTGCAGGAGGTTGTTGCCCAGGTAGAGTTCCTCCAGCCGCGAGAGCTTCTCGAAGGTCTTCGGGTGCAGCGAACGGATCTGGTTGTACTGCAGGTCCAGCCGTCGGAGCTGGCCCAAGCGATGGAAGTCGAAGGCGGTGATGTTGGTTATGAAGTTGCCGCCGAGGCTGTAGGTGAGCACGTCCAGGGGACTCGGCAGCGAGCTAGTCTTGGGCACGGCGCGGAGCCCCCTGTTGGTGCACAGGAGGTGTTGAGGGTGCTGGCAGTCGCAGCGCTCGGGGCACACGGGCTCTGCCCTCGGTGGGAGCGAGAGGCAGCCGCACACCACGAGCAGGAAGCGCACGGCCCCGGCAGCTTCCATCGCCGCCCGCCCTGCGTGCTGCCGCCGGACCGTCCTCTTCGCCCGTCGGCTCTGTGTCTCCTCTGCATTCCCCTTGGCCTCCCCAGAGTCTCTAAGAGGCCTCTTTCGGACTCCGCTGCGCCGTCCAGCCCCTCCTCCCTTTGTCCAGAGCCCGGCCTGGGTCTCTCTCTGCAGGCGCCCTTCGTCCTGCCAAGTCAGGCGGCGCGGGACGCTCCGCGGACTCGGGGTGCTACTTGTTGCATTTCTGCAGAAAACTGTGCCTCTGGGTGCGCGTCGCGGGTGGGGGAGGCGGAAGGAGGGAGCAAAACCTGGCGCTTTTTGTTTGCAGCTCGGGTCCGGAGAGCTGGATTCCCTGGCACGGATTCTCCCCGCCGAGCGGATTCCCCAGCTGCGGGCGGGAGCCCTTCCAAGAGCTCCTCGGGGCGCGGCTTGGCTGCTGCGCCCCAGCGGCTCGGCTCCCCGCAGCCGCGCCTCCTCGCTCTCGCGTCCGGGCCTCGGCGCGCTGGCCCGGCCGGAGCAGCCCGGGGAGGAGCCGGGAGTGGGGGTGTGGGGGTGGGGGGGTAGGGAGGGAGGCTGTGTCCGGAAGGGACCCTAGCCGGCGAGTGGCGAGCAAACCCAGCGGAAATTCGTTCTTCCCACACTCTGCCCCCCGGGGGACGCAGGCGGAGAAAGAGGAGACGGCGGAGGGAGGACAGACCCCGGCAGGGGGAGGAGGAAACGCTAAGTGGCTCCGCGTCTGGTCAACCCGAGCCCGGGACGCCAAGTGAGAAAAGCAGGGATTAAAAACAGCTGTACGGGTCGGACAGGCTGGGCTGGGGGCGGGGGTGGATTACAGGGCCAGCAAACCAGAGCTGCAGACAGAGACCTTTTTCTTCTAGTCTGGTATACCAGCCGCTTCGAGCTAGATTCTAGGTTACTTGCTCTCCCAAGTGCCGAACTGCGGGAAGTCTGGATAGCACCGGGTCGGCCAGCGTGCTCCATGAGCTGAAATGGTCTGCAGAGAGCGGTGCGTCGGTGGGCCGCCCTCAGACGGGACGTCTGACTTTGATGGGTCCTGAGTGGGTCTCGTAACCCAGGCTGGGCACCGCCTCCGGTGTAGAACTCTCAATCACTATTTGCTGCACCTTCCTGGAAAGAGTTCATGGAAAACCCAGAACTCGTTCTACTAACTGGGAAATGTCTCCATCGGAGTTAGGCGATTTGTTCCCTTTAATATTCCCATCTTGATAGCGCTTGGGGTAATCGTTACACACACACACACACACACACACACACACACACACACACACACCACACGCGCGAACCTTCCCAAGTAACTGCTACCTTCAGAGCCCTCCCACTTTGATGCCTGGGCTTGCAATAATCTTCAAAGTCTTGGCTCAGCTGGAGAAATATTATCTTTTATTTCTCAATTGGGAATGGAGTATTTATCCATGGCTCCTCCGAAGGCTGCTGGGCATGAAGATGGACAGGGAATAGTTACAATCAGTTATGAAAACGATGTTACTAAAGAAAATGACTCCCCTCCCCCATACACAAACACTTATCTTTTCAGAACATGTACTATTTTTAGAACTTCGTGAAAAAGACATGGAAAAAGACATTCTCACTCCAAGAGGCTGACAGTCCCAGAGAAAGGAAAGGCAGGGAGGTGTTAAACAAGAGGTGATAACATTAAAAAGATGCTGAGATATAGAGATACAGTCTCTTGGGGACAGTGCCTGGAGGGGGCTCTCAAGCAGTTATCGGGAGGCACAGGGACCCCACCAGCAATCTTCAGTCAACTGGCAAGGGGGTTCAGTGCAATAGCTTGTGGATATGGTACTGCTCAGGCCCTGTGTTTCCTCCAGCCACATCCAGTAATGCTCAGGGCCTCCAGACCCATGACTAGTGATGCTCATGGGACCCTGTGGTGATGGGAACCCAGCCTTGGTCCGGCACATGCCTACCCTAACCACTGTACTCCCGACCCTATGATGCAGATGATTTTTAACAATCCCCGTGTTTGACAGAGACCAGATGCCTGAGCATTTTATGTAGGCAAGTGATAGAATTTACTTGCCTACATTCAGACCAGTTCTGGATTTAAAGACGTTTGAGAAAAATGGCAGCAGGATCACTGAGGGTGAGCTGGGACCTCCATTCCAGGGACAGAGGTGTTGGGAGACTAAAGGTAGCAAGGAGAGAAACACTCATTCAGGGTACAGTCCGCTGGCCAAGTTCGCTGGTGGTCTGCTGTGAGTTTTCCAGTCAAGAAATTTTCCAGTAATGAGGTTGGAAAACCAAGTATCTGCCTTAACAAGATGAAAAGCGATTTTACCCGGTCACTGGGTCTGGATTGTGGTTCTCGTTATGAAGGTATGGCTGCTCTGGCCAGGAGACCTGAACATCGCACAAGTTCTGGTCTGAGGCCCAGAAGCTGTTAAGATCTTCACTGGCCATGCACATGGCCAACCCTGGCTCTGGGTCTGCTGCCGCATATTGTCCAGGACTCTAGGAGTGATCTCTCAGCAGAGGGCCAAAAAAGTTTGCCACTTAGCCCAGATAGGACCCAAATACAAAACACTTGAATAAATAAGTAATAGAGAATAATTTCAGCCCTTGTTGGCAAAGAGGAAAATCCTGGTTTAAGAGGAAAGAACACTAAAAAGCCATTGGTTTTCATGTTGAACCACTGGGTCTTTTCTGGAATAAAGGTCCTGAAGCATCCACTTGGTAGCTTTGGGACACACCAGCAGCCTTACAGAGAGGGAGAGGGGGAAAGTTGGAATCGAAGACAAATGCAGGAATTCCACACAGCCTTGGTCTCTCATCCTGACTGTTCCCAGACTTTCAGAGTAACTATGTTACAAGGAAAGGAAGCATGCTGTCTTAGATGACCATTATCATCTGGGCTAGTTACTAGTCCCACTAGGGTTATTTTGTCCCTGTATAGAACTCCCTAGTAAGATTTACAGGGGTGGGGGGAGGGAATAGTCAAAAGGCTGGAGCCCAAATTCAAGGCCTGATCCTTAGCACTGCATGGCTCTGATTTCTGCGCCCCCTGCCCCCAATTTATAAAATTATCAGACCCTTGTAGATGTTCTGTAGTTTTAAAGAAATATCTTGGTTATTATTGCCTAGCAATTACTGCCTTAATATTTTTGACTGTCTTTCACTCTGTGATATTTCTACCAGCAGCCTGGATTGCAGATAGAAATAACATCACACATGATTTCATGTCAAAAAAGCAATTGCTTTCCCATAACATTCTATTTTTGAGGTAATCTATATGCCACATGTAGCAAATCATTTAAAATGAACATCGTGCCATATTTCAAAGCAATATCAGCAATTTCTGATGGATATCCTTGCTCCCTTGATCCAGGTAAAGTAAGAATAAAATTTGGAGATCTATTAGTAAAATGATATGCATACACTCACATGTATGAGCACATAAATTATATTTTGATAAAAGTTTTCCACTTAAAAAATAATTCCCTCCCCTTTAGAGGCATATAACCAGACAATAAAATAATAGCATTTAACTACTGCAAAGCAAGTGGATGTCATTTTTTTAATGTGTGCCACAATGTATTTCTGTCATGATACAGGTATTTGATTTCTTTTCTCCCACTTCTCTCTTTTAGGAGTTAAAATTATATTTTGTTTCAATTTGGTATTACATAAAAAACACAGCCCTTGTAGTGAAGACCTATAAATGCAACCTCAAAACTACCAATGCAATATTCTTTCTACCTGGAATTCTTTCTGCTGCTGGAGATCAAGCAAGAAGCATTTCGTAAGAACCAGTCAGTGTGTGGGAAACTGCAGGTTGAAGATGGGAATGCAGCGCTGATAAGATACAGTTGAGACAGCGTGCACTTACAGGCAACATAGTGGGGAGGCAGGGGGCAATTGCAGGCCAGGTGATAGGAGGTGTGTGGTGGGAGCCGGAGGAGGGCACCCAGCCAGAACAGGGGAGACCTCTGCCAAGCCTGGGAGTTGCAGGATCTTAGCTAGAAGAAGATGAAGGAAGAATGCAAGGAGGGGAAGCCCAGTCACATGAACAAGAGAGTGACTTAGGATCCACCAGATCATCCATCTGAATCTTTGGGACGAGATCTTTTTTATAACTTTTTTATTGAATCACTGTGAGAGAGACCCTTACAAAGCTCTTCATGATTGGATTTCAGTCACACAGTGTTCCAACACCCATCCCTCCACCAGTGCACATTTCCCAGCACCAGTGTCCCCAGGTTCCCTCCCGTCACCCCCTGCCTGCCTCTATAGGATGCACTTCTCTCTCTCTCTCTCTCTCTCTCTCTCTCTCTCTCTCTCCTTTTGGGCATTGTGGTTTCCAATATTGATACTGAAAGGTTGAGGGGTTTTGTTTTTTCTTTTTTTTTTTGGCATCTAAATTTTTTGGACAGTATCACCTGGTCTGGTTTTGACCATGGTTTTTCAAATACCTATTGTCTTATATCCTACTAAAGATTGTGAGAAACCATTTAACAATATCATATTTCACTGTAAACATCAAGAGTTATCCATTTACATCAATAAGTAAAGGCCCTCCCGTTGATCGTCGATTTGCTCGAGCGGGCCCAGTAACGTCTCCATTGGAGACTTTGTTGTTACTGTGTCTGGCATATCAAATACTCTAGGCAGCTTGCCAGGCTCTCCTAGAGGGGTGGAGGAATCGAACTCGGGTCGACCATGTTGGCCGCTTGTAAGGCGAACGCCCTACCGCTGTGCTATAAGGTAGGTAATATAAAACGAAGTGTTATCTTAGTAGTTCTTGCCTTCTACAGCCTTGAAATCCATGACAGAGATGCATAGGGAAATGTGCTGTTAAACTCTCCGGACCAAGCCATGAGGTACTGGTATTGTCTAGAGGCATTCTCTACTCCTAGACCCGGGCATTCTGTGCCCTTTGACTGCACCCTATCTAGTCTTCCTCTGACTGTGTCATTTCTCCAGGATTTCAGACTTCCAAAGGGATGTACTCACCCCACATCTACTCCTGCTCAGGTTCCTGAGAATTTGGAATTCCCTGTCTAAATCTGTAAGGCCTTTTTTTCAGTTTTTGTCCTGGAGGCAAGTCCTGCCACATGTGTATACATACTTAGGGCCAAGGGAAGGCATTGGACAGCTGTGCACAAGAAACTGGATTACCAAAGGCATGCCAGGAAGGCCTCTGGGAATGCTTAGTAAGGCAGAAATTAAGCTGGGGAGAGAGAGTTCCAAGCCAGAGATCTTCTCTGGTCTCACAGGCTTTCTGAGGCATACATACCTACCATAATTACATAATTACAACACCAAATCTAGCACCAGTATACCCCTCTCCTTCTCCCAAGATGCCCAAGGCCCATTACTTTCAACCCTCTCCCTATCAAACTCATTTGTGTGGATCTGTTCTTGTTGTGTTGCCTTTGACCCATTGTTGCTACTGCTGTATATACTTTTTTAATTTAATTTGGGAGGGGGGCTTTTTTTGGG